CCATGTGTCTTTCGACCTTATTTAGATGTCAAACGTTGTACTGGATGTAGGGTGAGGTTACACCACATGAGGTTACAAAACACACAAGGGTGACTGAACACAGATTCAAGTGTGTGTCTGTGTGTATCGGTAAACATGGCGACATTTTAGCATGTGGAGCATTTTATGGGAGGGCACAGTTAAAAATCATGTTTTCGGCATTAACTCCTTCCAACTGATGCAAAACACTGAAATATATTTGTGAATGAAATTTGTTCTTAGAGTTCAATGTACTTGCTGAGCACATCTTTATTTTTACTAGCACAGTTCAGATCCTCTCGTATTTGTAAATTCTGAATCAGCACTTGCATTTTGATTGATACGTACAATACTTAAATCAGCCGATCAGTCGAAACAAACTTTCAGCTGTAGTGTAGTGAAATTTCTTTCAGTGATGTTGTAGCAGAATATTTGTTTAAGGGTATAAAATAGTAAACAGCTGCAACAAATGTCTAAAGTAGACTCTCCATAAAGTGAAGAGTTGGAGTGATGCATTTCCCCTAAGCATCCTGCAGCCATTTTAAATCATTACCTCTGGCTTGGTATTTTAGAAAAACCAAAAATGAATTTCATTCATACCGTATGTGCTCCCATGCAAAAAAAATCAGGTCAGAATAGGCTATATTGGAGAAAAGTAAAAAATAATTTGCTCAATGGCGTCTCTTTTGCTATGTGAAAAAGATTTCCTGTAATATGTGTGAGACAGTTTGCAGGGTGAGTTAAATTTCTGTTGTCCAGAAATGTGATGTCAGTAATATCACGGTGACTTTTTTTCAGGCTACAGTATGTTTAACGGTATTTTTTGTCTTTCTTTCCCTAGTCTGTTTGTGGTGTTACATTATCTCCAAGATTAAAGGAAAACCTTGAAAGTTTAAGAACTAGTAAGAAGTCATTTAATGTTATATTGATGACCTGAAATATATCATTCACTCAATATGTTTTTTTTTCGTCTTTTATGGATGGGACTGTTTTCCTGAAAGAAAAAAAAAAGATTTGCCTCAGAGCCTGGTGTGTTCAAAGTCTCGGTTTCTCTTTGGCAAGCAGTGTAATGACAGTAAAGGGTAGGAAGATAGGCTTTAATCATTCTGAAAAGCCCCCTGGAAGGACAGAAAACAGCTGAGAAAGGATCATTATAGAACTAAATTGATTATATTTTGCTTGGCATTCTGATTAGAACCAACATCAACAACCTAGCAGGGAATTGCTTTAAAAATTCCTTGTTCATTTATAGAGAAAAATCTAGACTAAATGCCCCCTCCAATTCCAGCTACAAATAGTTGTTCTCTGTTACTTATTTGAATAAATGCAAAAAAAATCTTCTTTCTATGTGTGTTTGTAAGGTTAACATTGCAGGAAAGGGGATGTTTAGATGTTGGGAAATATTCCTGGTTTCTAAAGAAATTCAGGACTTCTGCATATAGCTGCACCAGATCCTGTTTAAAATCTTTTGTTGTTTGCTGTTGCTGTCACAATAGAATTCAGAAGACACATTGATGAGGTTTAAAATAACAAGTCATGGGCTTTTGGCTATAAAAGTGTTACACAAAAGTACAGTATGTTGCAGAGAATATTTTCTCTCAAATTATCAGTTTGTATGTAAGGACATGTTAAGAATACTGTTTTTGTTAATTTAAGTATGCATACAGTAGTATTAATCTACAAACCAGTGTTACTGCACATCTTCATCTTCATAAAACATTTTATATGCATGTTATGGAAATATTGACAAATTTAGTTTTTAATACTATGAATCTGTTTTAATATTGAAGTGATATTAAATATTTTAATTTAGTATGTCTGTACCCAGACTAAATTGGTACAAATGTGCACTGAACACCCCACCTGATATTAAAGCATTAATGTACTACTTTAACTGATTTTTTAGAATTGGGATTGTAAAGTTTATGTATAAGGTGTACATCATCAGTCTCTTTGCTTGCAGTATGTCTATTAATAGTCAGACGTAAGAAGAGGCGGATTGCTATTTTTCTGTTCCATGCAATTTATTTGTTTTGATAAAATAGTATTATCTCATACAGTATGCTGTAAGTCCTGTTTTTCTGAGCACATGTGCAGTATAGTGTTTGTTTATAGTGTGTGACTAATTTGAAATTTGGATTCAGTATTTATGCTGAATTTCTGTTTCCATATGTGCTTGAGAGCTGTGCACAACACTAATGTTTGGGATTCCTGCAGCACTACTGTTTACACTTCTTTTTGTCAAGGGCAAAACTAGCTTTCTGCTGCTCTAGCCAAACATCTGTTTAGTTTGCCAGCATACAGAAACGATGGCAACCAGATGAAAAAATATCTTATATCATTTGAAAATTTGAAAAAGTGTGATGGATCACTAATAAATCAATAATGGTGGTTTATGGCTTTGTAGTAGTATTGTAGTAGTATTGGTGAGCTGCGTTTTGCAGAAGTATTGTTTTGAAGTTTTGTAGGGCACTACAAGCCACCCACCATTAGCTGTAAATTTCAAAGCTTCAAAAGTGCCATGTGAATTGTCTGTTTCTTTACCCAGCTGATTTTCTCAGAGGTCCTCAATTTGATTTGCAGGAATTTGGGGACCTTGTGAAAAATTTTGTAAAGCTTCTTTTTAACCCAGTGCCAATTGACACCATCAGCTTTTGTTAGATATAATTTTATATCCACCTGAATTATACTGCGGTTTAGGAAGAAGTCTACAAACTTTTAGAGGCCGATTCTTTCCATGATGCATTTGAAAATACATACAGGAATGCTAGGCAAGAGAGGGAGGAATCGGCCGGTCTAAAACAGTGGCCAATATATACTGTAGTCTAGCTGACTGACACTTTTGGTCTCAACTGGATCAGCCAGTTCATATACCTAGAGGTACAGTTAGATAAAATCACAGGCATAAACAGAAAATACAAAAATGTATAAATTGAAAATACGATGGTGAAATTTACTAATCACAAATGAAATGAGTGATGTTTAGTTAACATAAAATGTAAACACTGAGACAATAAAATTACTGTGTTTTGAACTTGTAAAATTGAAAATAACCACAGATTCAATTTGTTTAAGTTTTTTGTTTATGTATGTGACATAGAAAATTGCATGCCACCGCAAAGAAGTGATTTAAGACGTGCTAAGACAATGCAGCGTGCGTTTGGGAGAATTCCCTCAACAGTTATTTGCAGAGCACACAGGGCTGCTGGAAAATGTACAGTGTGCGAGGTAGTGGGAAAGGTAGTACTGCCAGCAGGAGGTTTCTGAAATCTCTGTTGTATACACATTCAAGGTAATTATGAGCTGAGGGAGGCACAGCTTGACAAAACTGGTCTTTGTGCTGCTCGAAGAAAGTCTAAGGTTTCACATGCAGTTGGTATATGATTTGAAACAACTGTGAAGGAAAGCAATAAAACGTTGGAGTTTACTTTACTGGCTTACAGTTTGGTAGTGATGCAAGTGCACAAATTTTGACTTTTGTTTCCTAAAGAAACTGAAGCTAATTTCTTCTCCTAAGATAACTAATTGCATATTTTTAAAAAAACTTGGTTCCTTTTGATTGAAGGATTGTTTTTAAATTTTTTTTTGGGGGTTTTTTTTGTTCCAGGGGGGGGAAAAATTGGGGGAAGGGAAAAAAAGGGAAGTGTAATGTTCTTGACTGCAGTCTTAGAAGGGGATGAAGACACATTCAACTTTATATTATGATCCAGTTGTAACATAATTCATATACAGGCATATTGTACACAAGCCTAAGTATTAACCTTCTTACTTCTTTGTTGAATAATCATTTTGTGTGTATAGCCACACTGTATTTTTTAGTTGCTGGAACTGGAATTGACTTGACTGAAAATAAATGATAAAGAAATGATAACAATGAGGATGTTATCTTATTGTGTAAATATACATCAGTCCTATTCAGAGAAATGGGATCTGTTTTCCAGTGGGTTTGCAATGTCCTTAGACATTCTATTCCAGCTTTAGGATGAATAGCTTGGAATTAATTGACCTTATTGTCACAATCTTTACAAGGCCCTTTTTTTTTTAATTTTTACATGTATTTGTTAACCTCTGCCAATGTAAGTAATGCAGTAAACTTCTTATGTGTAGTGAGAGAAATAGTACTTTCAATACAAATCTGAGACTAGATAGCATTTTATTGTACAGTGTAAATAGATAAGATAGACAAAGAAAATCTCTTATAAAGCCACAGGACTTCTCTGGAAGTAAAGTACAACATGCATTATACAAACTGTAAAAGACTTCTTTTGCTGTCTAACCAAATTTGTCATTTGAAGAACCAGCTTATCTTATTATAAGCCCAGCAGTGTTGTCCTCTAGGAGTGCCAGATGTGTTGGTTCTAACCCTGTAATGTTATGCAGGGCTGTTATAACAGTAGCCTATCCTATTCAGACATCTGTTTTGTGGAAACAGTGCACCGTGGAACAGTGAAACACAGTACACATACAGATGGGACCTTGGGGATCATGTTGCTATGGATAACAGTGGTACACAATTTGTGTCCAAGATGGCTAGCTTGCTTGGAAGGAAATGAAGCATTGTAGCACAAAGTTGTTCACTGTCCACTGTTGTTGTCCATAGGAATGCGAACCCTTTGTCCCTTTTGTACAAGTACTGTATGTGTGCCCAAAGGTTATTGTGACACAAGACACACAGTACTTTCTATTTTATCAAATAGGCTGTTTTAACCACAATTTTGTTTCTTAACATGCTCCATGAATGGTAACTCTTTTGTCTTGACCTTTGATCATGATTTAGTCATCTTCAGTTTATGGTTGAAGCTAATGTATGAGGTGAGGCATAGTTTAATAAGTCCAAGGTTTCATAATCACCGAAACATTACAATACAACTGAAATATTTTTTTTTTCACTTAGTGAAGTAAGCTTTATCACAGATAGACTTACTTTTGCCAAACTAAACACTCTCTGCCTTTTGAGAACGTGGGGTTTTGTTTTCTTTTAGTTTCAGGACATCTCCTTGTTGCATCATGCTGTGAGGCTGGACAAAAGTGGGCCTCTGACAATGGACATTGTACTGGCATGCCACAGAGAGAGGTGAACACCTGTAGGTAAGTTAATAGTCTTGAACATTATCAGTTTTGTTTTAATTCCTGTTCAAAGAGTCATGAGGGCAGCAAGAGTCTGAAAATTATAATGCATTGAATTTAGTTATAAATGTGTCTGTAACCTTGATATCTTTCCCTTCATTGTGCCCTGCTGTGATATTGCTAATTGAGATGTTGCTCACCACAGGCTTATTATGCATAACACAACTTGACTTGGTAGGTTGATGAGACTGCAGTAACGGGAAAATTAATGAGTACAGTACATCATCTTCCTGCAGTTGAGGGAAAGCAGTACGTCTTATCTTAGCTGGGTTTGATAATAGGCCTGACTGGGACAGATGGATTCTGTTTTAATTCGACTGGATTTGCTATACCAGTTGTCCGGCTTTGTAGTTGCTCTACATATCACATATTTGTTTTTTTTTTTAGAATCGCTGAGCAGCAGTGCTGCTTGGGACACTTGAGAGACAGCAAATGCTTGGCAGGTATGACTGCAGCCAAAGAAGGGAAAATGTGTGAATTGGGTGAACGTGACATCTGCGGAGCCGACTCTTACATGGCAAGTCACCCTTCCATCCATTTTCTAACTGCTTTATCCAACACAGAGTTGCATCGGAGCCAAAGCCTGACCTGGCAAGCAGTGGGCACAAGGCCAGATACACCCTGAATGGACACATAATAATATAATAATAATATTTCTTTATTAGCCCTATACAATTTCTTGCATTAGGAATGCATCTTTTCGCATACCCCAGCTTTTCTCCATGGAGACACAGACAGGGAGAGAAGCTTGGGGTCAGAGCGCAGGGTCTGCCATTGTACGGCGCCCCTGGAGCAGTTGGGGTTAAGGGCCTTGCTCAGGGACCCAACGGAGTAGGATTCTTCTGCCAGCCGTGGGATTTGAACCGGCAACCTTCCAGTTACAGGTGCAGATCCTTAGCCACAGAGCCACCACATAGACACATAGACACAGCCACAGACACACACACACTCACACCAGGGCCATTTGCCCAATGGAGAAAGGAAACAAACTTATTTTAATTCAGCGGGGTTAAAATGTTGCTTTTTTTTCCATGGCCTACAGACTTTGGAGAAGTCAGGAAGCCGTTGTGCTAAAAATCTGGTTCAATAATAACAAAGAATCTAAAAAAGGGAAACTGAGTTCTTAAAAATATCCACAGTTTCAAACCTGCTAACAAGACGAGAGAAGAAGTTCAACTTGAATAGGCAAGTTTTGAGGAGAAATCTGTGCTGATGTTTATTATTAATATATTTAGGTCAATGGTTTAGCAGCAACATTATGATACACCATCTAAATAATGAAGTCATGTATTTATGTTTTCACTTTTTTTGTTTCATAACATACATGGAACTGAATACAATGTTTTTTTTTTCCTGAAACCTCTCTGAAATGCACTTGTCACCCTAGGAGTTTAATTCCCAGATACAGTAAATGTCAGATTGGATTTCTGTTGTTGTAATTGGGAAAAGCACCAGTATGAGAGTGTGTCACTTGCCTGGTGCTGGCAAACATTGTAATTATTTGTACTTTTCTGCATTGCTGAGACCAGAAACACAGCAGGAAAATAAATTGCATGGTTGATACTACTTGTCAGAGAGAATAAAAAACTATCATTGTCACCACAGAGAAAATATTCTACATGGTCTTAAAATGTCAATATTCCTCTCCTGCCACCTGCAGTGTCCTTGGCTTTAAGGCAGTGGTACTGTCAGAGGCAGAGGCTTACTTTGGAGAACATTAATTACTTAAGGGCTTTTGTCACAATTCAAATAGTGGTGCGTACTCCTCTCAGACAATGTAATCCCACTTTAATAAGTTGTTATGGTTACCAATGTCCTCTTATTTGTCCCTTTATTTCATGTTTACTAAACAGTAACAAGCCGAAAGATCAGAGAAATGGATGGCAATAAAATGTATCATGTCACGCTGTTCTGCAGGAGTGCTGTAGCTGCTGTTCTCTGGGCTTGCAATTTCGCAGTGAAGGACACAACTGTGATTCTCACCAGCATCTAGTTTACCCCTGTAGCCATATGTTTCTAACCTGCTGCGAGGGAGAAGATGGCCTCAGCCAGCCCACTCTGAGAGAAAGGCAAAAACCTGAACCAACATCTCTGCCAAAGAGAGGTAATACTCCTTGCAAATGTTGTTAGGCATAGTAAATAACCTGATACAGTTATCTTCCACTTCAATTATATATCCATCAGTGAATCCATAAAGAGTACTGTGTCTGTACTGGCAGATTACCAAGACTGCACTTGTTCTTTATTAAGTCCAAAACTTAATAAACTTGAAACGTATTTCTGTCATGCTGAATTCTAAAGGACTTTGACTTTCTTTTTTGTTGTGCTTCATACCTTTCCTCTACAAAGCTCTGACACAGTCTTCAGGCTGCGTAACAGGAGCCGGTTCAGACTCTCATGTAGTGCGTATTTAGGACCCCATGTAGTGCGTATTTAGGACCCTATGCAGATGGTAAAATCCGGAAGAGACTGGAGAAGGGCAACAGGGAAACACGACAGGATCAGGATGGGGATGACTGACAGGGGGGCGTGGCGCAGGCGAACAAGTCCAAAACAATCTGAAAGGGGAAACCAGGAAGTCCAAAAGTCCATAGCTGGGAGATCCATCTGAAGAGAGACAGGAACGGGGCCGAGGAATCAGGAACAAGGAAGTTAAAATCACAAAGGAGCTGGGTTCTCCAAGCCCAGTACCCAGATGTTCAGGATGCCGAGGAATAAGAGCCCTCGGGCTATCCACGAGCCTGGGGGATAGGCAGGCCTTGTGGCGTCCATCTTCCAATACCGAGCCCTGAAGCCTGGAGACACCAAACTTAAGTAGGGACAGGAAAAAAGGAGACACGTGCACGTCATAATGAAACTACAATACAAAAAGGTCAGAGCACCCTCTAGAGGAGGGATGACGACTGTGACAGGCTGGCACAACGCTGGTTCAGAAAAGCACTCAAAATGAGAGAATTAAGATGTCCAGCACAACCTGTCTGAAAAATACAGGACAATTCCAAACAGGGACAGGTGACAGCGCTAGCTGTTACTGTCCTATAGGTGAAAATAAAGCAGTATTTTTATGCAAGGCTTTTTAGCTAATTACAGATATAAATAAGAAGTCCAGAAAATCTGAGGGTCATAATTTTTCACATGCCCATAGTAAGTATTCTGTAAATTCTTCAGACCATTTAGTTTCTGTTAGTGAACTCTCATAAGTAAATATCACACATTTTCAGTTGGATTGAGGTCTGGAGATTGAGAACATGGAATTGAGAACATTTCTTTTCTGAACAGTTAGCCATTACTTTGTAAATTTGGATGTACAGTATGGTTTGGATAACAGGCATGTTGGAATGTCCATTTCTAGTATCAGGTTTCAAATATCTTGCTATGTTTTGGTGTTAATGATTTCCTCTATCTTGACAAGGGCTCCAGTACCAGTGGATGAAAAAGAACCCCAAAACATAATAGACGATAAGTGTTTTCCCAACATGAGCACCATTTTGTTATGCCACACATAATGCTGGTGAACATGTCCAGAAAGCTCGGTTTTCATTTCTTCTGACCCTATGGCATTGTTTCAGTTGTCATTCAAATGCTGGCAAGTCTGAGTTACTTCTTTTGGTGGGTTGCTCAGATGCTTCTTCCTTGCAACCCAGTTATGAACGCCACATGCAGGCAACTTTTAATGGTAGTTTTCAACACTTTGTATCCTGAAGATGCCAGTGAGTGTTTAAGATCTCCGGCTGTTGCCTTTGGGTGCCTCCCAAACCACTTGCTTTATAGTCCATGATGGCAAGATACACTTGCATTCTCTTCCTGCTAGGGTGGCAACTGTACCCCTAGCCATCGATTTCTAAAAATGGACACTACAGTGGAAAGCGGTAGGTACCTTTTTTTCTAGATTCTTTTATAGTCATTTCCTAATTTGTGGAGGTCCATGACCACTTGCAGTCTTGAAAGAGTTCTCTGACCTTAGCCTTGATAATGTTGCTGAATGGTTTCCATATGTTACAGTACATCTTTTTATGCTCCAGGGAAGCAGGAATCCTTTTGGAGGCCTCTATATACAGTACATCTGGAGGCATTGCACTTCCAGAGGGCAGAATGCGACTTTAGATTTGTTTTGGGTGATTTTTATTTAAAGGAATTCTTAGAGGTGTGAATTAATTATTAATTGTAGGTTAATTATTTATGACAAATATATTATGGCTCTTGTCGATGCTATTAAGATTACAGTCTAATCTGTCCAATCTGTAGGTCATTCTGCAATATGAGGTATTTGATTCTTATTTCATTGCTACTACTGTAAATGTTTAGATTGCATTTAGAATTCAAGACACTAAACTGCCTTAAAAAAGAGATTGTGTAGCAGTATTTGTGTGTCATCCCACACAATTAGAATGAAATATTGTATTCCAGATGTGTTCTGCAGGCTTTAGATAATATGAAGATCATATTGGTGACAGAATCCCATGAGTCAGCCATGTCAGTATGTCAAGGTGATAGAAAGCTGGTTGCTAAAACCATGTGTCATGCCAGTCCTGTCCATCTGCATTATGACCTCTGCCTGTCAGAGCAATCTGTTACAGTATTATCCTATATCTGGGTTTATTGCCAGCTGTACTTTAATACATTTCTTTTAGTAAAACACTCTATTCTGTATTCCAATAAGCCACATAATCGTACTTAATAATGATGCCAAACCATGTTACTCTTTTCAGTGTTTAGATCTCTGTCAAACTGTCAGATTAAACCAGAAATTGTGGTAACAGCAATGCAAACATGACTAGTGTTACGCAGCCTCCATTTTTTAGCTGTTAAAGTCAGCAGTGTTTGTGGTAGTTGTAATGTCTACTGAAGCGCTAGTTTCAAGGTACTTGACCTTACTGTGAATGTGCCATTGCCTTTAGTTTTGGATCTTAAACTCTCACCATGATCAGTTGATTAGCAGGTAGAACCTACTGATTTGTATTTTAAAGCTCAAGTGCTGAATTCTCCGATAGCAAGTGAGAGGTGAGGGGGAAACTGTATTCATACCACATGAGGGACATTTCCAAAGTTACAGCACTGTTCTGCCTTATAAACATTATGTCTTCATTATCAAGAAGGTCAGGAAGCATGCATGAGGTAGATGCAATAAAGGTTTACAGGACATTTGAGGGCTGGAATAAAAACAATTTTAAAAAGCAATCTGTACTTGAGTAAGTACAATATGAGAGTGTAATTCTGATTGCTGAACCTCATGCAACCTAACTAGATTAGTTTCAATGAATTTATTTTGTTCTGCATTTTCTTGGAATTTGTATTCGGGTAAGGTGAGTGGTGATGATTTTCTGAATGTGAATGTGTTTAATTTACATTATATTAGATCTGATTTTAACAAAATGTCTTTAAGCCAAATTTAATAACCTGCATCTTTCTTCTTCGGCGGTTTTCTACATTTGGCCAGAATATTGTTTCCAAGTTTGATGAAGTAATGAAAATATTACTAATTACTCATTACTAGAGTGGTCAGTTCCTCCCTAGTTATTAACACTATCAGTATGCTATTAATCTATCACAAGCTATGAAGAATCAATAAAATTGAATTTTTCACCTCTAATCCAAAGTACTGTGTGTTATTGCAATATCTTCTATTGCAATGTATATTGTGGTGGTGGTGGTTCAGTGCTGCTGAGTCAGTATCAACTCATGGCAACCCTATGGATATTTGCCTGTCACTATCCAGAGAGTTTTCATGGCAAGATACGGAAGTAGATTGCCAGTCCTTTCTTCCAAGTGAGAGTGTTGTTGCTGTTGTCACAGATATGTGACCCTCCGACCGCCAACACCACCCCATACTGCTGCTGCCCAGTATGGGTTCTTAGAGAACCTTGTGCTCGATGTGGGACACAAACCCACTACCCTGAGATTAGGAGTCTCATGCTCTACCAACTGAGCTAGTCGGGACTTAATGTATATTGTAAGCATGTAATATTTCCAATTTTACACTGCAATATATTATTGTGTCACTTTCTGACCTTGTGTTGAATCAGGCACATTTTCTTAAATTAAATATCACATTTCAACAAGCTAATACAGTATATGCTTTGCAGCCTTACAATAGCAGGTAACAAAATACAGGAAAAAGCTTGACTGTAAGGAGGTACTATGCACCAAAGGGTTAAGATACTATGACATAAAGCGAATTTCCAGACATTTGTACAATACAGTATAGTCTTGTCTTTCAAGTTTCAGATGGTACATATGACAAAGAAGCTTTTTCCATTACGGATGAGGAGGGCAATGAAAATACAGTGGAGAAAGGAGAAGACATAGATGAGTGCTTGGAGTATGAAGGACAACTCTGTCACCAAAGGTGTATCAATACTCGGACTTCCTACGAATGTGCTTGCTTCCCAGGTTACATACTGCTGTCTGATGGATACAGTTGTGAGCCTGGTAAGAAAGAGATATAACTAAATTAACCTTTTTGTGAAATGACATGCAATGGTGGAATGGTTTATGACTAAAATAACTATTTTAAAATGAAAGTGTGTGTACACAGACATTTGCAGCACCAGGTTTATGTAATGGGTAGCTGTTTCTGTCTTTGCGCGTGTTAAAGCTCACATACATTGTATTGTCTACTGCAGTATAATTGTGCTTATTGTACTACATAATACCAACAGGGTTTATCAGCAAACGGAATCATCTTAACTGAGAAATGGAACCACCCAGCATATTCTTGTTGTAATGATTAAATAAAACAGTCAGGGGGCTCTTTTGAAATTTGAGGAAGTAATATGTTATTCATTCAAGACTGAGGAACTTCGATGCCTTTTCACACAAGGATTTTTAGATCTGTACTGCAGCCCAGAAAGAGGAATGTTCTAAAAGAACTGTTAGCCAATAAGTCTGCCAGGTTTGTTCCATTCATGTCATTCTTAAGGCAGAAATAATACAGGACAGTACTTTAGAAAAAATCAGTTCATCTTAGTTTGATTTCTAAGGCCATCTCACCCAGGAAGAGAAAAAAAAATACTCTTAATTCTTAATTTCACTGAGTGAAATGAGTGTTCATTCTCAGACAATAATATACAGCAAGCAGTTCAGACGTGTTGCAGAATTCTTGGCAGGAAAGAATGTGTCTCACTGAGGTTTGGCTTTTTTACTATGTATTATTTTTTTCAGTTCTTGTTAAAAAGCTCTTATCCTTTCCTTCCTTCAGTTCTGACTCAGATACACTAGTTTTCTGATTTGGGACTGATAATCTTTATCCAGACTAGGCATATGACATTCTTTCCTGACCCTGCATTTTGTGTTAAACCGCTGACCTTCATCTGATTACATTATATACAAAAGTAGCTGAACTGTGGACAGACAATTGCTAAGAGTTCTATTGTTAGGTAAATGTTTTGATGTCCTGCCTGGTACGGCATGTTTACGAACTAGCAACTAGCAGGCCTACTGTTTTTTTTCTTTTTTTTGTGTGTATTTAGTTAATATGTCTAGGCTAGAGGCTGGTGGAGCTTTGCTGGCTGAAGTATGACTTTTCAAGTGCTGCTAAACTAACATTTATTTAAGAGATAAATCTATATCATTGAGCCCCAATCCACTCCTACTCAATGATAATCCCCGGATTATTATCCCTTTTCACATAAAATGTTTTTTTTTCTGCAGACAAAAATGTATCCTTTGGGGTTGGGTGGAGACTAAGTTCTTAAAATCTCACAGGGTTGCAGTCGTATATTGTAGATATTTTTCTTAGAAAGAGAAGTACAGCTAAATTACATCATTCAGCTCCAAGAACTAGTCTGTATCTTTTTTCTTCTTACTTTTTCCTTTTCGTTTCGTATTATAATACAACTTTTGAGCTTCAGCCACTCCAAAAGAACTGTGATACCTCCAATTAAAAAATCTGTCAATAGTGTATTGTCCGAGACTCCATTTGAAACATTCACCTTCCTCATAAAAAATGAGGAACTGCAGTTTGTCATTGTTCTTCTTTGCCATAAACTTGTACATTCATTTGATTTAATAAATTATCATTTACCACACAATTTATACATGCATAGATGTCTTTCCAGAAATGCTTCACTTCACTTATACAAACACTGAGGTGTTTGATCCAGTGATACTGTTATACTTTTGTGGAGTTTTACAATGTGTGTAGCCACAAGTTTTATGTGTACGGGCATATCTACCAGCAAACATCTGCCACCATCCGCCGCCCGCATCCAAACCAGATGACATTCTTATGATTCGTGGCTCGGAGATAATATAATTGCAGGATAAAATGACTGCCCCTAGTTAATGGGTGTTTCTCTCATGTTTGCATATAGAAAATCCTGAGGAAGAGGACAACAGATTGAGAGAGGAAGATAGGCCTGCTACTCCTGTCCCTACAGTTGCAGCTTCTACCACAGTGATTCCAGTAGATTTGTGTGCAGGTAAGGATTTGATTCAGCTACATGTTTTGGTGATGAAACCCTTCAGCCTCCCTGTATGTACATAATCTATTTCAGGGGCAGGCAGATTCAGGGTCTGGGGCCACAGAGTCTCTTGGTTTCCATTCTGCTGCTATTTCAGTAATTTCTTCATTGAAGTGATTATTTAGATTTGTAGTATGTCACTTCTTCATGCCTTTATCCAATTCTAAATGCAGAGTACCTGAAAGAACATCAGGGCTGCGGCCCACCTGGAGTTGAGTTCTGCATCTCGGGTGAAAATGTTTTCAGATTTCAAATTCCTATTTTAAAAAACCCACTTTGCCGTTGTTGTTGTTGTTGTCTGCAGCATGTAGCACAAGGAAGCATGTCCTAGAGGTCTGCAGTCCATTGTGTTCATCGGATGTCTTAATTGAAATTCTAGAAGTATCCCATCTACATTGCAGTTTTAAAACTACAGTATGTCAGTAGTTTTAAAATACTGTCTCCGTTCATGCACTCTTGGCTAATATACAGTATCTAAACTGATGAAAGACAGAGAATTTTCTGGCAGCTGATCTATGTACTATAACAATACTTCTGAAAAATTGTTTCTGTACAAAAGGTATAATTAATTTGTTTTATAAAAATATTTTGCATTAGGAAGTAGGTACCTATGGGAATACTGTTGAATAACATTAATCTTCTGGAGTCAGTACTGAACACTTTTAATGTGCTTAAGACTTATTTTATTTTCAGAACAGGGATACTGTATATTCTGTGTTTGTTTTAAAAATCAAGGGAAGGATTGCTGCTTTGGAACGTGCATTTGTTCTTTGTTCCTTTATCATCCTGTCTGTCTATCGCTTAGAGAGCACATGAGCCCGGGAACATCTGGTCATCCCATGAGTCAACCTTTATTAAACTCTAATTATAACACTGACATGATCAGGGCTTTCTGGGATGGGTAGTTTGAAATAAGAAGTGAAGTGTGTAGTGCATGTAGTGAAAGCCAAAACACATACTGTAAGTCTAATACATGTACTCTATGTCCCATGGACAAAAAAAAAGTTTTCTTCAAGGAAAAACAAATGGGCTCTGGCACTTAAAATATACAACTCTGAGAACAAAATGAGGTTCAGTGACTATCATGGTAAGTCTGAACAAAACACAACCAAGTGTGAAAACTTTCACACACTGCTTTGCCACGGTTCACCAGGCCTCGGACTGGACTGCCTTGTGAGTTTGGTCTTTTCTTTTTTTAAAGACTGGAGGGGGCCCACCCAAGCAGATCAGCACAATTTTTAGAACAAGGCATGCAGCCACATTCTCATGCCAACCATATGCTCAAAACTATCCGATCGGCTCTCTATCTAGCTTAATTACACCCACGTGGGGCTCTCTCTGCCACAGACTGAATCTTTTGTTGACTGGCAATCTTCCATGTGTGTCAAAGATACACCAGAGACCCTTCCTATCTAGTCCTTTTCAGAAACCCCAGGACAAACTGCCGAAGTACATTGTTGTTTCCCTGGGCTCAGCAGTTCAGCCATAGCTGCCGATAAGCAGAGTTGGTGCATTGAGGATTGGCTATTATAACACAGTATCAGCTTGCCTCCAGTTCAGAGCAGTCTCTGTTCAGATGACCTTTTCACTGTGCAAGTGTACGCTAGGGAGATGACAGAGGGAAATGGAATAGGCAAAATCTAAGAAAGAAGGAAGTCACTGACAGAATATATATTGGTTGCACAAAAACTCTGAAGAGAACATCTTGCACCAGCAGGGTTTTTATTAAAAGCTTTTCCATTTTGTCCCCTCCTCCAATAGGAAATGGCCCCTGCATGCACGTCTGTTCACAGGCTGCAGGAGAGGTGCTTTGTTCCTGCTTCCCAGGTTATGCCTTAATGGCAGATGGACATTCATGCGAAGGTAGGGGAGCTGTTTGCTTTTATTATGTGTTTAATATATTAGCATTTAAACTAATGGAAAACAGCACAGATTCAATTCTCGTGTCACTAGTGAGAAGTCAAACACTGTATATGCAGACCTCCTTTTACTCTCTGTTTGGGGGAAGTATCCACAAAGGCATTTGGTGTAATATTGCCAGAACACCACTGCATTGCCAAAACATGAAAACTGTTAGGTTCACTTTAAAAGGACACTTGAAAATGTGTACTGACCTTCTGGGAAATGGGATTCAATGTAGCCAAACAAGAGAGACTTAAATGCAGGTCTTTGTAACTCTGGGGTTAAGTGACCTCAGCAGCATTTTTACAAAGTAGATTTCACTGCCTCAAGCACTGGTGAATACAGTCAATTATTACACATAAAGACATGTCTGAAATAACAAATGCCATTCCAGGTTCTGTAAGCTCAGAAATGCTCTGTGAAGTTAAAGCCTCTGATCTCAGGCCATTTATTTATTTCATTCCATTCCTAATTTTTATCAAAGGTTGCAAATTGAAAGCAAGGCTTGCACGACAAAGTAAAGTTCTTTGGATGTAGGGTGGAGTTGCTAATTTATTGTGTACAGTCTGAAGTCTTATGGCTGCATTCAGCTGGCTCTTGCTAGAAAACTCTCGCCATATGTGTGTGTGATATGGAAAAATGAGAAAAAAAAAACATGAACATACCTCCCTGTGTGTATGGGGCTCCAGTTCTTAAGAGGTGTAGTCTGGGGTTTTGAAAGAACATATATCTTTTGAGGCCTAATATTACCAAGAACCCGTAATTAAATGTGTGATACTGCTAAAGATATGCAGCTTTAAATGTGAAAAAACTACACCAATTTTTTTCTAGTATATACATACATCAGGAGACAATAATTAGAAAGAAAATAATGCAATACAAGTTTCCTTTGACGTGTTCTAAAAGAAAGGATTATTTTAATTATGGCCTTGGGATACATTTTCCTTTTCTTGAAGGATATTCTGGAAATGGAGCACAGAACTCCATCTCCTAAATCTGAGGGATCATCTTTCCCAGGAAATCTGCTTTTCACAAACAATTTAAGATGTAATGTGTGATCCACATGTTGGAGCATTGCTTCCTGGTGGACCATTTACAATTATGTTGTGGTTTAGAATGTAATATGCAATCCATAAATAAATGCATCACACAATCAATGAATATTCTAATTGAGGATAATTGTATAAACAGATAAACAAGGAAGAAAACCAGACAACACACAAAAAGACTTGCTGTTTGGAGGGGACATGATTTAGCAAAGTTTATTCATCGAAGAAGGCAGCACCATTAAAATCCTTTCTGTTTTCCCAACACTTAAGGAATTTATAGAAATGAAATTGAAAATTTATACTAGGAATACATAAAAAAGATATAGAACTGGGGGGCGCTTAAGACATTTATAAGTTAATCTACACAAATGTTGTCACATATATACAGTATATTTCCCCATTCCTGAATTTTAAGCATTATTATAATTAGATAAATAGATGCTGTTAATGTTACTATTGTAGTAAACGTCTTTGCTACATTGTGAATCCATTTAATGTGATTTGTTATCAAGACTAATTCAATCGTTGTTCGTGCATTATTCCCCTGTAGTTCAAGTGCACAACTAATGAATTTTTTTTTTGCAAAGTGTTACCATATGTTAGAATGTGGGTGGGCATCTTTGATTTAGTCTGGCATGTAACAAAGAAACCAGCTTTACATTGGCTGCTCAAGTGTATCAGTTATTCATTTCAGTCATTGTGAGCAAAGAAAATGTGAAAATGGAAAACCAGTGCTTTGAAAACTGAATAAAAACCCAGTGCTCTGAAGTTGTACAGGTACATGACCAAAACTTAACACAGAGGTGATTGTGAATACCTCTCAAAAGCACGTGAGCCATATTTGTTAAGAGAAATTCAGTTAGAAATCTTAAGTGTCTTTAATATTTAAACATTTTGAGTGTTTTTCATTTGCTGTAAAAAAAAACATTTCATTTGTTAGTGCACGGTAGTTATGTTCCAATTAATAAAAACAGGAAATATGAAAATACTGCTTCATATACCAGATATATAGACTATTCCTCTTCGCTAACCCTGGTAGAATGTTGAGTATATCCAAGTATTACAACTACAGCGTTAGTTGTTAAAATATAGTTTCCAAACCACAGAAAATGGAAGCCCATGGATGATCTTCAACACTTGTACAGTATGTGTGCACTGACATCTCCTTTTACTTTTGTGTATTTTTTACTCACTTATTTGTTGACTATTACTGCTTATCTGATTCCCTTTCCCTTTGGTTAACCCGTTTGTGTAGATGTGAATGAGTGCCACTCGGGCACTCACAGTTGTTCCCGTGGAGTGTTGTGTGTGAACAGCAAAGGATCTTTCCAGTGTGTCCGCGTCAATGAGCCCTGTGAAGAGGGTTTTATATACAACGTGAATAGAGAATGCGTTGGTAAGATGATGGACATTGCACTGTGCATTATTTCAGTCCATCCATGTAATTCATCCATCAAGTTGACATTTGGAAATTCTTACATTTGCCAGGCCCAATTCACTGCATGCCATAGATCCAGATGAAAGTAGTTAGCATATTTATTTTTGCAAACCACAATTGTTTCTGTATATTCATTTTGAAAATCTAAAAAATGATTAATTTGGAATGATATATATACAAAAAGATTTGGTTGTGAGTTAAATCAGTTCACATTTTTCCCTGGTAACATGTTGGGATCATAGTATGATTATTAATTGACTATTCAGGTTACAGCATTTTTTTCTTCTGTTACATTACAGAGCCATCCTAACTGGATGTAATGTAAAACCTGATCAGGCTACTATTATTTAGACACGCAGATAATGTGTGAAAGCCGTATGATTACTTAGTTGGAATGCAGGCAGCTCTGTCCCTGTCCAAAGCTAATTCCACAGTAAATCAGTAATCATTATGGTGTCGGTTTGGTAACAAGCACCACTCCTTGATATGATTGCAGCTTCCATTGTAAATTACAATATACTACAGAACGATAGGTGCCATCTTTCTCTGTACTCTTCACTCTTCCTTATGAGGTCAGGCTACATGGAGCCAGGGACTGGCAAAATGTTGATTTCCTCTTTTTTTATTTCTCTTTATCACCTGCAAGCCCAAATGTACTGTTTCATTTTTAATACATCTCATCATGTTGATGAATCAGAAATAATGCACATTTGATATTCCTTACTGCTTGTGATCTGAATCACTGCACATCACGCACTGCTTTAAGGCTTTCTTCAGCTGGAAGATCCTTGCTAAGGAAAAACCTAATTAAACCCCAAATGCTGAATCGCTTTAATTGTGTCTAACATGACACTGTGCAAACCTGCATAGCTAGAGAAAGGGCTATTCTGCAGGTTACAGATGTACAGTATAGTGCTGGAGGTTTTTTATCTCATTCTCACCTTACAACAATACTGTTTACCATAGCATTACAATGCCCAGCAAAACAGTAACTTAATTTACCCTGTACTGTATCTATGGTTTACTCATTGGCTACTTATGAGAATATTTTTCTGTTCTGCATTGTGTTTTGTTTAAATGCCTGGCTAATTGTGGCCGAACTCTATTCATTCAATTTTCGTGTGAAAATATTTTGTTTCATGTAACAATGTAATTATTTTTTTCTCGGCTCCTAAAGCCCAGTGGAATACAGTGTAAGGCTTGAATGTTGCCAGAAGGTGGAGACCTCAGCCATTAACTGTTCTTTCCCTTCTGCGTGAGTCATGCAAATCAGGCAGGAACCTTTGCCAAACAGCTTTGTTTTTATGTGTACGTCAGGACTCTTTTCACTATATGTTGGCATTAAAACACATAATCAAGGAATGTAAGCACCGCCATTAAAGACAAGCTTTGATTTTGACTACTGCTGTCTGGAAAAGAGAAAATATAATGTCTTAACTCTCAAAACAGATGTTCCTTTCCCATTGTTGCCCCATAGACAACTTTAATATTTGCAGCAAAGGAGAAGCAGCAGTTCTCATGTGTTTCTGTTGTGTTTCTCTGCATTTCTGGAAACATTTTTCAGTGTTTCGATGTCAGAGATCCTTTTATGACATGACACAAAATTATCCTTTTCACATAATAATTGAAATTTGTTTTTAAATCTAGCATTGCAGTCACGGTCAACCTTCAACAAACTCATTTCTAAGTTTAGTTCTCTGCCAATACACTGTAGATGTATCAGCATAACCGAGTGATCTTTGTCTTGACTAGCCAAAAGCTGTCTTCTTGAATCCTGTTCCATTTGGTTTTCACATCCTCCTTTCAAGAATTTCCAGTAATTAGTTAATATAGTTAAAAAAATAGCAGGTTTGTAGAAACATTCTCTCCTGAAAAATATACAACTCCTATTACTAATTGCCCCAAAACTAAGAAAATGCATTCAGCTTGATTAGCTTGTAACCTTAAATGAACGTACTTGCATATTATGCAGCTGAATAAATTCAATCACTCTTCACGTCTCTATTCTGTCTTTCATTATTTAAGGAAGTACAGTTTTCCAGGTGATTATCAGTGCAAGATCAGACTGCTATTCACATTTGAAAAAATGTGAATGTTCCTCTAAATTGTCTGTTTCAAAAAGTGGTTTTTATTTGTGGAAATTGGCAGGTAACACATTCATGTGTGATTTTGACACTGAGATCTCTAGGAGTCTGTACTGTTAGAAACTGAGCGGCTCACACCTGGATGTCAGCCACTGTCTTGTTTGCCAGCCCTTTCAGGACCTCCAAAGCTGCTTTCTTTGTAATGTGTGAAGTTAACCCTTGATTCGCTATTTTACTGTGCTGATTACTGGTTAAGTTTTTCTTAAACCTTAGGTTTATACTCTTTCACAGAAGTACAATGGTTTAAATTTGGTATTGTGCTTGCATTGCTTTAATTATTCTGATCTAGTGTTGTGCATTTTTTATTTTTACAATTTGTTCCAAACTTATTCACTGGTTTCCCCAATGCTTAATGTGCAGTAAGTGTGTATCAAAAAGCAGCGCCGAAACATGCTTAGAATAGATTTTCAGCAAGCTGCTAATGAGTACCGAATGTAATTCTCTCTACAACACCTCTCTGTGGCAAAAGGGAAACTGCTTTTCAAAGGGAGCGTTCTCCTTTTTCAAGCTATTGCACATTTGCTTCTGAAACAGTTTGCTCTAAATCAGTCTTTATATAGGGTGGAAACAGGCCAAATTCAGTACATATTCTTTTCAAGCCCTGTGATATATTCCTCCCTGGGCCTCTCGTCTGTAGAAGATCTGGAGGCTCATTCAATAGTTTTGTTTAATTTTGCTCAGACATTTTCTTGTCTTTTCCTGCAGATATTAACGAGTGTCTAACTAACACACACAGCTGCCAGGCTATGGAGAGATGCATTAATACTATTGGTTCCTTTACATGTGAGAAGCAAATCACCTGTTCCCCAGGGTATCAGCTGAAGGAAGATACCTGTGAAGGTATATACTGAAATACTATATGTATGTACTGTATGTGTGTGTACTGTTTATGTGAGTGTATTATCTGTATTGAACATAATAGGGGAAAGCTATACAGTCAGTGCACATTCAAAATACATGTTTGGTGTTTATTGTAATTTCACCACTCATAAAAAGGTTACTTAGAAGTGATATGTTTGTGTCATGTGTACTACTTGGAAGATCCAACCTGAGCTTGAATGCAGCAGTGCAAATGAAATGGCCTGGACTATGCAGAGACGTTGACCAAGGATAACAGGGGTGATGCAGTCCATTCAATCTGTAAAGGAGCTGTCAGATTATTTACGTAATCTTTGGCAGTAGTCAAACTTGACAGAATTCCAAATAAGAAGAGACCGTTTGCTACAATTTGATATTGACATAGAAAGTCCTGGGTGACCATTGCCAAGTGGGAGATAGCATGTTTATAATGATTACATTAACAATATTGGTGTTGCTGGAAAAGTATACAGTATAACATCGGTTTCGACCCAGCTTGATATAGACACTTTTAGAGAAAGATAAATAGATACTGTATAATTTACATATCTCGTTTTCATTTTTTCCATGTATCTTTTCTTCTATGTCAGCTCTGTAAATTACTACATTAAATAAACAAACAGCAAGGTGGAGTGCTGTAACAGACATATCCCAAACATTACTCAGACTCATGACAAGTATGTAATGGATCACTATTCTGAAAAGCTCAACAGATGAACTGCTCTGGTACTACTATGGAGATAGGAAAAATAGGCCATTGAATATAGTGACAAAATGTGGCAATGATACATTAGTACCATTAAGAATTATTTTAATGCTCATTCATGGTGACACTTGTAACTGATAAAGCTGATTATTGCAAAGAATTACAAGAATCAATACTCTTAAATAATGGTAATTATAATATTGATATGATATGAAAAAATAATGGTAATTATAATATTGATATGATATGAAACTGATAGGAAATGTTTCTTCTAGTGTAGGCTTAATTTGAAATTTTGCTGTTAATTTTAATTTTCTACTGCATACCTGATGCTATGATTCTGATGAAAACAATACTAAATCCATTTCACCTTGAGTTTGTCAGAATTCGCCCAGCCTTGACCCTGACCAAGAAAGATTTGTGTTTGGATAAAATGGTTTATGCATTTCCCCAGTTCCTCTCTGACTCCTTCACTGCAGCACTGGTTGGTAGTACTGAATGGTGAAAGCTTCAGTTTTGACCATTATGATTTCTTTACATATTTATTCACAAATGAAAGGGGTGAAGTGGCCAGCAAACTTTATAAGCACCCTGTAGATGTCAATTTGCAAGCTGTATAAGCACTCCAATCTTTGTGGTGCTTGGCAGATATTTGGCACAAAAACTAATAAATGCAGTCCAATAATTAAGGTAATATTTAGCAGACATGATATCAGGGGAATAAACTAATTATCTGCCTGAAAGGAAACAGAAATTGCTATTCTGCCACTTAAATTATATCTGCAATGGTGATGAGGACAAAACAGTAAAATAAAAGATCTTACCACAGTAGACAGAACATTCCCTGAGACAACAATGAACATGTTGCTCTTGGAAGGCAGATAAATAATAATCGTATTTGCAGTGCATGTTTTATATTTGTATATTTGTTGTCCATGACCATTTTTTTTTTGTAAGGTAATACAATACATAGTAGTCACAGTAATATATGGAAAGTAAAAAAAAACACAGACAATAATATACTTCGCTAGAATCTAGAAGAAGTTAAATTTAGGTATGTATAATGTTTATGGATAATAAAATTGAAATAAATAAGACTTTTTAGTGTATTGGGAAATTGTCTGGGTATTTGTTTAATCAGTCATTGCACCACAGTGCCATCTAATGGTAGACTTCAACAGCTCTTTAAAAAGAGGCAGAAGTACAGTAGTATCTATATTTCTTTGTACCAAATTTCTTGGTTTCATTTTAGAACATTATGTAATTAAATCTACACATTTAGTGTTACCACCACCAAAACTACTAATAACAAATAACATAATGCAACTGTTGCAATTTATGGTAATTAATGTGATGGCAAATACTATTCTAACAATAATAAACATAACAAACGTGAGTAATATAATAGTGAGGTCAATCAGATGCTGCCCAAGTCCTCCTCTTTTCATATTTAGTGTCATATTCCAAAAGAGTTTTCTAGTTACTGGAGCTCCATAAGGATAGGACTGATTTCTTGGGCTTGGGACACTGGCCAGCCTTCCACTCTCCTTTTATAGTTATGGATGTCAGGCAATAAGAAGGAATTTGAGATTTTTCTGATTGAAAAGGAGTTTTAGAAACAGGTGTCTAACTTTGGTCATATTTGTTCTGGTACCAAGTCCATTGACCCAATTTTCATAAAAGCTATTTTTTTCTTTCCCCTCTTGATGCCAGACATTGATGAATGTTTGCAGCAGACTCACAACTGTGGCACAGGCTTTGAGTGTCAGAACACAGCAGGGTCCTTCTACTGTAATCCAAAACATCGGTGCTTCACCGGCTTTTCACAAGACCAGCATGGCAATTGCATTGGTATGTAACTGGGTCTGTAGCCAAGGCGGAAGGTTCTACTGCACTTCCTATAGCTTGTTTTACTCCATCTGTACTCCTGTACAGGAGGAATTCATGACTCAAGGACAGACTTGCCCAATTCTTTTACCAAAGAGATGAAGTATAGTACGAGAGGGAGTTCGTGGAGTGGTAAGATAGATAACAGCATTCCTCCCAGACAGAACAAAGGGACAATAATATATATAGATTAGCATTACAAGATTACTAGGGTTACAAATGAGAGGAGGCCATTCAGCCTGTGTGGTAGGTAATAGCTTATTGATCTAAGGAACTCATCCAGCCATTTCTGGGAGGAAGCCAGGGTATTGGCTTCAGATACTGTACATGGCTGGGTAACTCGTTCCATACTCCCACAAAGAAAAGGTTACATTGCTAATCCAGTCTGCCATGACCTGGATTTGAATTAGGGTTGGCGAGAGCACAATGCAAAGAACTAACTAGTGTAGGATCATGCAAGCTGCCCAGCAGATATCTGCATTCTGGGATCCTGAGTTGTTAGAAGTTCAGTTGTGAAACTCAAACCTGCTCTTATTTACACAAGTATGCTGAACACAATGCACTTTAGATGGATATATCGTGTTGAATTGTGCTCTAGGGAAGAGGAGATGGTGCAAGTTGAGAAACAAAATACTCTTCTTCATATGAAAAAAACTTTTTAAGGATGTAAATACGCTGTAAATACGTCAAACTTAAAAACAGTAGGTCAGAAATATTTCATTTCTGTATCTGTTACAAAGTTCAAATTGTTTTTGGTCATTCTTCGAAGTCACAGAATAAGAAAAGGGTAGGAAACTGCTTTCTAACAGAGAGATTATTAATTGAAGAGAACCACAACATATTATTTTTCTTGAAGAAAGTGGTGCCACTGTAAAATGGGTGGAGGCATCTACTGAAGTTAAACACACATTGCACTAAAAGTAAATAATTCTACTAATTAATGCTCTGGGGACGTAAAATTCATCATTGAACCTCTCTTGACAGAGACTGATTTGTCAGTGACGCGTCTAATCTGTGTGGGTTGTTGGTGGGAGATACTGGAGGTACCCTCTTGCACTGACAGGAGGTTGCACTGGAGGATCATTTTGTTGTTTGTTTCCCTGAGATCCCCATGAGCAATAATCAGGTTTCTTTTTTCCTAATAAGGATAATAATTCTCTTAAAAATTCTATAACCCTTGGTTTCGTTTTAGTAAATTCAGAATGGACAGGAATAATTGACTAGCTTTTCTGTATAACCCAGCTTTCACCTGCACTTCCACCTGTACTCACTTTTATTGACAGATAGCTGCTAGCTGGGCCAAACATCTGTTTTCACACTACGGACAGTGAATATTGAACAGTCCTACAGGGACCCAATTAGCCAAGCCAGTTGCATTTTCATTGAACTGCAATTTTTCTAAACAACTCCCTTCTGTCCGCTCTCTTGTGAACGCGACCTAGTACTGTAAATGCCACCACTGGGGACATCCAGTCACAGATGACAGTTGGTACAACCAGCCTCTGAACAATCTCCATCTAATAGACTCTATCCTGTGCTCCTGGTGGGAGGCATTTGCTAGTTGAACTACATGATTAAAGAGTCACCCTTTAAAATAAAATTAAGATAACGGAGAGCATCGGAGCATCCTGTGGAGTTGATGTAGACAGTCATGAATGCTATGAAACTGGCTATTCCATTTTCAGGCAGGAATGTCATACCTGAGACTCCTTTTAATATGTAGTTTTTTCAGTGGTGTCAGCTATAATAACAGCCATCTGATGCTCAAATCAAATATGACTTCTACATACTCTCCAATATACATGCTGTGGCAGCTGGAAGCATTTCATACATGCTTTCACTGGAAGCAACAACAACAAGTTGTTTTTTATTATTGTTGTTATTTTGTTATTTTTTTCTGCAGACATTGATGAGTGCAGCAGTCCAAATGTGCCCTGCAGTCCTGGATTCAATTGCATCAACACAGTTGGCTCATACACCTGTCAAAGGAAGATCATCGTGTGCAGTAGGGGCTATCATGCCAGCCCTGATGGAGCCAGATGTATAGGTAAGAATAAAATACAGGAAAAACTGAATCATCTCTGATTATGAACATAATGGCATTTTGGTGTTTTGTTTTTCTGTCACAGCCACAGCGATATAAAAATGCATTGTGTGTCCTGCCATACAGGCATATAAATAAGACATAAATAATTTGTAACACCAAGACTAGTTGCTTTCTTCTCCTGGCCTCATTAGCAAGTAATATATAAAGAAGGTAGTAAAAAGAGCAAAGAAAATAATGTACACAACAGTGGACTAACACAGTGGTATTAATGACATTGTAATAACATCATTTTACACATCTGCAAGCAGTCAGTCACTGTGTTTTACTACATTGAAATATTGTCCTTAAATCTACTCCTGCTTATTATGTTTGTAATTACAAGATATAATTGTATAGGAATGCCCTCTGGTTCAGCATATAAAGAGGCCCTTAGCGTCTTAGAGTGAATGGGTTTCCTTTTTCCACTTGTGTGTGATTCCTGGTCTCGCTTCCTTCATGTGTGCAGATGTTGATGAATGTCAGACTGGCGTGCATCGCTGTGGAGAGGGGCAGATATGTCACAACCTACCAGGCACTTATCGCTGTGATTGTAAGACTGGCTACCAGTATGACATGTTCAGGAAGGTATGCGTTGGTACGTAACATGGCACTGAAGGTGAAAATGTTCAGGCAGGTCTGAAAGTTTTCTCAGTTATTTCTCTGACTTTTAGTGCATTTTGATTAAGGTAAGAAGCCTTTTATTGTTTTACTAGTCTCACCCTGTACAGACTAAATGTATGGGAGAAGCTGTTGCAGATTTTTTTGTTAAGGGTTTAATAGGTGATTTCTATTCATTGTCACTAACATAAAGGCCATACTTGTCCTTTCTCATCTGCTATAAGCACCTCTCATGTCCACCACTGCTTCAGTGACACTTATACTCTTATACTCAACTGTCTTATACTCAATTTCTTTATCATGAGTAATAACTGATTTGCAGCTTTGTTTGGATTGTGTTGATGTTTTGAGAATGGCTTCTAAAGCTGTTCTTGGGAAACTTGGACATCTTTGGAAGATTCCTGCTTGATGCAGTGTGGTTTCAAGAACCTTCATCAACACTATCCTGACCCACTTACACTCCAACTTTTGCCCCTGACTGTGACAAAAACACACCTTATGCTGTATACACAGTTCACTGGCCCGGTCGTCAGTGTAAGTGAGAGTTTGTTTCAGCTGCCCCTTTTGTGTTAAATGAAGAGTTCTCGCCGACAGATGTGAATGAGTGTTGGCGCTATCCTGGACGACTGTGCGCTCAAACGTGTGAAAACACTCCCGGTTCCTATCAGTGTTCCTGCACCACTGGCTTCACTTTGTCATCTGATGGCAAGAACTGTGAAGGTACCTATTTCTACACATTAAACAAGCTGCGTTAAAAAGTCGATGTCACTGTGTCATTTTCAGCATCTGGTGGTCATACAGTATGATATACTAATAGTGGTGGGCAGTCTTGTGTAACGTTTGTGTTGTGTTTTTGAGGATAAGATCATCACCGATTATTAGTTACTGTTCTGTATAAATATATTTGAAATATCCATACCAGACGTTTCTGATATATTTCTACTAGAAATTAATTAACTAAATTCAAAGGAAATTAATTAATTGTCTTTCATGTAACAAATAACCAACCCCCGATCTCCTAGTTTATTGGCTGTGTAACATGAATGTGTAGTGGAGGAAATAAACCCCCCCTTCCCCCCCATAAAATGTCTTACATCACTTTCAAACTTCAATTAACTTGTCAAATCCCAGCCCCCAAATTAAATATCTTACTGCCAACTTGTGTGAAAAAATCTGATCAGTTTATTAAGCTAGTTGCTACTTTATCCTGATTGTAATATCCCATATAAAAATTGTAATTAATGATATTTAAACCAAAGCAATGGTCCATTAAGATTGGAGACATTAGGAGTTCACCTGCATTTGGAGACATTATGGACAACTGTAGTTCTTGAAAAGCCATTTTCATTTCAAGAGAAATTACTTTTCAGAACATATTCTTTTAAGAAGAGATGACATACTGTATGTTTTGCTTGATTATCTTTTATGCAGATGTCAATGAATGTGAAAAAAATCCTTGCAGTCAAGAATGTGCCAATATATATGGTTCATATCAGTGCTACTGTCGACAAGGCTTCTATCTAAAGGAAGATGGGCATTCTTGTGAAGGTAACCTACAGTTTTTTAATTGTTTTTAACTGTAAATGTCTATTGTGAATTACGAGAAATGTACTGTACGGTATGTATTAAATTGTGATGACTGTTCCCCAACATTAGAAACAGATTTGCCTAAAGTTTCACAAGTTTCACATGTATTTAGTCAAGGCAAACAACCACAGACAGCTGTTTCACCATAACTATAGCCCATCAGTGTGATAGCTGTGTCCAGACAGGTGAAATGGTACGAAAAATCATTATGGGAAAAACAGTTTGGAAAAATTGGAAATACAAAAAATAGTCACAACACCTTAATTTGGTTGTTCTCTGTGAAACATAGCATCAAATACTTGCTTTCATAGACACCTAAAGATAATTAATAATTATCCCAGAATTATAATTGAAGCTTCTTACAAGGAATGTATTGTTCCTTGTTCAGTTTGATCCATTTTTCCCTTTCAATGAATGCAAGATGTACTGTACCATTATAAATAAATTACATAAATAGCTTGGCATCATAGAATCATTTAATCAGTAACACCTTTTGATAAGTTATGCGCTATTTGTGACTAAATAATATTGAGCTTTTGTTATGACATTTGTGTTAGAAAATGTGGTGCTTTGTGTTGGCCTGTGGCCTGTTGCACAAAGTGCAGGTTTTTCTTTTTGCATTCAACATTTAAAACTTATTATTTTGTTAAACTTTATTTGTACTGTACTTTCATCAGAATTTCAGTTAAGAATGATTTTATATAAAATCCAGTTTCAGAGAATGATCCTTCAATTTTTTATCGTGTTTCAGCAATATGTGTGAAATGTGAAATTGGTTTTCCGCAGTTCATGGTCATGAAGTTGCCAATGAAATTGCTGTTAACAGCCACATCTAAAATGAACATTCTGTTCATAAAAGTAGGAGATTTTCTTGTACGTCCAGAACTTCAAATATTTTGCACTTGCACTTCAAAACAGTACAAATATTAAATGCAATACCTGAGATAAAAATCCATCTTTTATTAGGGAATGGCTTTGGTTCAAAGGCTTACTAAAGTAAAGATGTATTTTTCATTGATCAATACAATGACACTATGTTTCCACATGTGCAGACATTAGATCAATAGAATCATGACTCTTGTCATAAGGGATTGATTTTCCCTTTCCTCTGTGACAGGTCCCAATGGGACACCATGTCATTGCTGGTCCTCAGAAGACCAGTCTGGTTTCCGATCTTTTCCCTTTTCTTGTTTCAAGAAAGATTCTTTCATTTATTGGCTTTCTGTATTTCTATGCACGATTCCTGTTTCCAGTTACACTGCACAGCTTAACATCTAAAGCACTGGTTCCAAAATTCATCTCAAGAAGACTTTTGATCTCTTTCCTTGTCATGACTTGTGGAAATCGCTGAACTAATTGGCATTTTTGATGTTTTGGCTGTAGACATCGACGAGTGCTCACAGAGTGTAGGCAATCTGTGTGCTTTTCAGTGTGTGAATGTCCCAGGGAGCTACCAATGTGCCTGTCCTGCGCATGGATACACAATGTCACCCAATGGGCGAACATGCAGAGGTAAGATTAAAAAAAACAAAGGCACTTGCTACAAATGTTTTTTTCCCCCATCCATTAATATAGACAAGAATTTAGTTGTGGTACAGTATATCTCAGAATGTATTTCTGTCATGATGTGTTTGTTTCTGATTAAGATAAAATGTATATGTAACTCTATTTGTTTTCTGCAGTAGAGGCCTATATAAACTCTCCCAATTAGCAATTATCTTAATTGCCTTAATTTAAATACTGAATACAGTCAGACAGGGCTACAATGTGACTTTGCTCCTGCTGCCTTGCAATTTCAGGTTCCTGGGTTACTGGACTATTGCGTTTAGATGTGTTTGAGAACTTTGTATGGTTTACTCTGTGTTTGTGGTGGTTTGGTTTAGGTTTTCCCAGTTACCTCCCTCCTCCCAAAGACATACAGATAGGTTTGATTTCCTCTCAACTGTCCCTCCTGTGGTACAATTCTCAAAGCCCCATGTGGAGTGGAGTTGGGCTTCTCATCTCATTGGTTGTCCCTGTCATAATTGGAAAGCTAGGTGGTTATACTAATAACCAGCATTATATTTGCATTTTGTATAGTCCAGTATACTGTATGTAGGACATTTATTGGCCTATTTGCAGTATAGGCCAATATCCTGTAGGTTTTAAGAGTTTTCGTTTACAAACCATTTTGAAGTGAAAACGAATAAACTTAAGAAGACATGGATTCATTTGAATTTTTATTGAACAAGCTTAGCTGTAGTGCTTCTTGACTGAAAGATGAAACTGCCTGAAGGAAATGAAGTCCTCTTATTCACATGCTTATTGAATCAAATAAATAGGTTTTCTTGCTTTCCCCTGCTTGAATCTACAATAAACAAGCTTATTTGATATCTACAAACCTTGCCTGTGTCTTTTGTGCTACAGACATAGATGAATGTGCTGTTGGAACTCACAACTGCTCAACAGCAGAGACGTGTTACAACATTCAGGGTGGGTTCAGGTGTTTGTCATTCAGCTGCCCCCCGAACTACAGACGTGTATCTGACACGTAAGTACAAACAAATAAGCTAATGTTATCTTGAAGAGTGCCCTGTGGGCTTCTGATATCTAAGGCCTTGTAGAAATCTATTGTAACCTAAATTATTTTAGGTATAGGCTGTATTATTTAAGTGTTTGATCCTGTCATTAAGTCTAACTCAGCATTGGTCAAATCATGTTAACATCTACAGTACAATGTGAAATACAACAGCTGGTGCAAGTGGAAAAAATAAAAAAATACAATGAATTTCAAATTTGAACAATAAATAGAACCTCTGAAACCAGTATGTAAAAAAGAATATCTGTTTCTAGAAAACAGTTATTGTATTGTATCATTTACGAGTCTACTTCCAATTAAAGTAGACTTTTGCCTCAGTTTTTTTTTTGCTAAATAAAACATGAACGTACTGTAACCTCTTAACTAATAGTGTTCACACAACAGCACTGTTCACAAAAAAGATCATGATACTATGATATAGTTGTTGAGCTTCTTCTTAACAGAAAGCAGGTTTTATTGAGCTGCTTGATCAAATAAAATTGCTTTGATCAAGCCTTTCGATTGCATGGGCATGACTGAGATTTCTCCCATTTACTGTGGTTATTATGAGGTCAGTCTGGCCTCAGCTCACACCTACACAATTCAACCCCTTGCAAACTGAAATGGAAACCCTGGGAAAGTCCGATATAATATAAACCTAATGACCTTCGATTACTCCCTTATAATGATTCTTACCAATTGCTAATGCCTGAATGTGGCATGGGGTCATAGGAGGGAATTTGTTTGTTAGTTATTTCCAAGAAGTGATTTTCTTAAAGGCATCAGTATCTTGTATTTGAGGTCAAAGATGCATACATTTTATAATGGAAACGAGGCATGAAGGCATGTAATCTGCAGTTTTGTTACAGTTTGTTTTTCCAATAACAAGTTAGGTTTTACCTGAACCGCAATGTTTGTGAATAAATAGATTAACATTAACCAAAGATAGCAGAAGAGAATATTGATTTAATGAAGTTACCAAAACGCTGCACATCTGTGATTCAAAACAAATATATCATTTCACACATATGTTTAGTCAGTGGTAGCATTATCTTCAGTAGGTACAATGACTGATTAAATAAATAATCCCATGCTAATATAAATCAATGTAAAAGATATGTTATGTTTTGGATGAGCAGCTACTATTAGATATTCTGAATTATTTCAAATTTAATTTAGATGTGGGTGCATTGTTCGTGATGCTCTTGCTAACAGTAGCCAGAGAAAGACTTTAAAAAATCTGTACAAAGTGGTGTTACACTAAGAATGATGGCCTTTGCCATTTTTCAATTCCTCATTTTCTGGATTTCTTTATCCCACAGGCGCTGTGAACGTTTATCTTGCCCAAACTATGTGGAGTGTCAGAGTTCTCCCCTTAGAATAACTTATTACCATCTAAGCTTCCAAACCAACATTGTTATACCAGCTCAGATTTTTCGCATCGGACCATCACCTGCGTATTCTGGAGACAATATCATCATCAGCATCACAAGGGGGAACGAGGAGAATTACTTTAGCGCCCGAAAACTGAATTCCTACACAGGAGCAGTGTATCTGCAGCGACAAGTCAGAGAACCTAAAGACTTCTTGATAGATGTGGAAATGAAACTGTGGCGTCAGGGGAATTTCACAACATTCCTGGCCCGGATTTATGTGTTTATCACAGCTCCCTCTCTCTAAAGCTAGCTCGAAATGTGGATTTCGTATGGTGCTAACCTCTGAAGCCGTTTCATCCTAGATTATATACATCTGTTACTGTGGAGGCTCTATTTACTGTATGCTTCAGACTATTCCTAATCGAATGTCTATAACTGTGTATGAAATATTACCGAAGGCTTTCATGTTTTTTTGTTATGTAGATGTGTTTTTTGATGTTTGGGCTACACTGGTGATAAAATTAATGAAACATGCCAGAGTCTTAACTCCAGAGTCACAACATAACTCCACCAAGGCAGTTTTACACTGCAAAACTGAGTCATGTCATTCAGTGTTTGGCAAATATATCTTATATACAAGTCTAATTTTGTGTTATAAATCTTTGCAGTCTGCCCATTATACTTTTGTTTTAAATCAGACTCCTGAATGTTGGTATTCAGAATGTTAGTATGTTGGTTCACTTATATTCAGTTGCGTCATATAATTGAATGGATGTATAATATTTCTTAAAGCTTGATACCAAATATTTTTTTTTTATAGAACTATAGCAGTTTTAACACAGACAACATTCACATGGTAAATCCATGTGAGGGATGATGCAGCACTGAAAAATTTCCTGTCTTAACTGGGTCAGACATATTAGTGGATTTCTGTTTTTAAAATCAGCTCAGGGTAAAATCATTAGTAACCACCCAGACCATAAGGCATCATCTCCATGAAACACCTTCTGCGTGACAAAATAGTTTCCTACTATCTTTATTCAGGAGCACAGAATATGCTGTGTTGTCTTCCATAATTTATCATTTTCAAATTGAGAATTTCCACATGATCACACTCTTCTCCAGTAGATTAAGAATAATGCAGTTATGCAGTTCAGGAATGCAAAGTACAGTAGTTCTAAGATCTAGTTGTTACAAAAAATTACTTTAGCCCTTCCTCTGTTACAGATTATAAGAATTTGCTTTCAATTATATTATTATTTTGTATTTCTTGTTTTTGCCAAACACATGTAAGGAATAGTGATTAGTTTTAAAGAAAAAGGAAAATATCATAGTTTTGTGAATATACCCCTTAGTTCTACCAACAGATTAATGTTTATCTAATTAAAATTTATTAGATAGCTGATTAATAAAACTTTGTTTCGAGACTAACTTTCTTCTAAATATTATTATCTGACATACCGACGGAGTATTTATGTTTTCCTTTGTTATAAAATAAAAATGGCTGTATTTGAAGATAGAACCTGTCCATCGTGTTTTAATGGGCTCCATCTCAGCGCTCTTATGGGAATAACAAAAAACTCCTGCTGGTTTTTCTGCAGTTATTGGAGAAGCGGATAACACTAAGATACTTTTTTAAAAACATTTGGTGTGTATTCTTATTTCAAATAAAAAAGAGAAACTTTAAAGGTGACTTTCTTTGCTACACTTTACTTCATTTTCAAAAAGGAATTTTATGCAAAGACATATTGAAGCTTAAAGCGTTTGCATGAAATAGACAGGTTAATCCAGCAATCCTGAGAACACTTTAGGAGCAATTAAACTATGATGTACAAGGAGATCCAACTCAGTCTTAGTCTGTGAATGTAAGTATATCAGCACCTGTGTGTTTTTAAATGCTGTACTGACCTTTTGCGTCCTTTGTCATTCAGCCTGTTAACTGCTGTGACATCTACTCACTATCTATGATTTTCATCATAAAGATATGCTCTTCATACCACTATGTGTAACCGTTGGATGAACCTTCTGTTAGAGCATACAAAGAACTGTGTACTTATCAGAATTAAAATACACTGCACAAAGAAATGTCATCTGAGGTTAGCAGAGGAGATATAACCCAGGATAAGCATCATGCCTCCTAGTGGTTAAAGGGGAGGTGTCCCCACTTTACAGCCTGTCAGTAATTCATCTCCTGTAATATCTGTGGAGGACTGTAAGGACTCCGTTCTGACCTTTAATCTTTCAGTGCTCCAGATCTGCAAAATTGAAAGACATTTGTCCATTTTGATCAGTTTGCTAAATGGGACAGTTGGGTTTGCAAGGGTTATACCTACAGTATAAATTGTTCAAATGAAAAAAAGCACTGTCACTCACTTTTAGTTATTACCCATCTTTAAAACATGTATTATTAACAGCCTTGCCAGCCCTACTGACACATTTCACAAGCCCAATGACAAATTGCATTTACTTAACTATTAGCAGAGACCTTCAGAGTATATCCATCATTTAAACTGGTGATCACATGAATATTGCAAAATGGAACATTTTGGTAAATGTGTTTCCTGGCTCTACCCCATTATTGATATTAATTCTTCATTCGTGACAAAAGAAAAATGACCACCATTTCTGAATTACAACTGCACAGGTCTAAATGCAGTCTTACTTTAAGTGCATAAAATATTATTTGGAATTAATCTTTTTGCAGCACAGAAAATTAATCTTAAAGATTTTTACAGTGCTCTACCCTTTGCTGACATTTTTGGCTGGAACGTTGGTTTTCACATTGTAATTGTTGGCTCTGGATCTGTCGATAGCAGTGTAAAGGGTCAGGACCTAACAAGGTAAGGCAGACACAAGTGGAGCCGGACCGCTGTTTCCTCAGCACAGTGGCTCAGCAGCTTCTTGTTCTTAAACCCTTTTGCTCTTTGGGGAGTGCAAGTCGTCCGCCAATGTTTTCCAGCAGGCTCAATGCTGCACTCTTCTCTCCATCACCCTGCATGATACTCCTACTGTATTCCTTTCGGTTGGGCCTGCACTGTTCTTCTTTAGCTGTTTCTCGGTCTTCCATATTTCCCCTTGCCCGGTGGCTTCCAGGAAAGGGCTTGCCTAGTGGCGTTAGTTATTTGGTTTCTTCATTGGGTGCCCAATCCAGCTCCATTTTCGGTTTAATCTGTACGTCAGTATGTGCTTGGTTTGTACTCTTCCATACATGTTCATTGGCCAGTGTACTGTATGTCAAGGGTGTTTTTTCACTCACAGGCATTTATTTATGAAGGTATGCATTTTATTCATTTTTTTTGGTTCTTGTTGTCCTCCATGTCTCTGTGCCATATAGGAAAAATCATTTGGCATCAGACTTAAATATTGATGTTTTGGTCTTTCTTGATATCTATTTCGACTGTCATTGCATGTCATAGTATCAGAAAAACTGTCCTGGCCTTCCCTATTCTGGCTTTGATGTCTCTTTTACTCCCATACCCGGTCAGGTTTGAAAGTGCTCAGGGTGTCCCATTTCTCAATGTGACCTAGTTTCACAAGGGTGCTCAGGAGCACCCCCAATGTGCCCTTAATGCACCCTTCTCTGACGTCCTTATCACAGCGGACTGCACTGAAGAGAAATACCCCCCTTTCCCCTGCGGAACGGTGATGTTTTGATGTTGTACCCTGTCAAAGCAGAGAGAAGCTGCCAAGGAGAATAAAATATTCACGTTTGTAAAATTGAGCTTTTTTACAGTTTAAAAATTAGTCATATTTTATGTAAAAACAAAATTAAATTAGGCTACCTTACATTCTTGCTGTATAAAATACGGGGTATTTTGTATGCGGGATATTTAATAGTACAAAGCTTTGTACGTTTAGTTTAGTTTAGTCAAGTTTAGTTTATTCGGAATGAAAGTTAAAAGAACGCGTTATGTTCCTCGAACTGTCATTTTTTGTTCTGATTGAAACGGACAGGGCGGCACCTGCTGTACCTGTCAGACAATTGAATGGCTCATGAGGTACCACCCAGCAGAACCCCCTTTGCCCATTCGTTATCATTCCATGTGCAGCAGGTACCACCCTCCTCGATTCCATAGTCTGGTCATGAACAGATCAGGTGAAGGTTGTTTGGACAAGGCTGTCAACGTCTATCTGGAAGTCCACAAATGTAAGATCTACAGTATGCGTTTATTCTACTCTTTGACAGTGATACACGGTGTAACAATGTGATCAATGCATGATCAGTCCTGGCTGAATCCTCCTTGCTATTCTCTCAGTTATCGAGAACTTATGACAGCCTTTCTAGGCTGATCCTGCTCAAGACCTTCCCCGCCCCGATAAAAGCATGATGCCCCTGTAATTGTTGCAGCATTGGAGGTTGCCGGTTTTGGGAAGTTTTTCTAAATGACCTTCTGTCCGCTCTGTGGGTATTTCTTCCTCCTCCCATGTCTGCTCAGAGAATTGGTACAGCAATTTTATTGTTTTGGGTGTGTTTGCATTAAAGGCCTCTAGGGGTATTCCATCAGGTCTGGGTGATTTCCCATTTCCAGTTTTTCTATGGCCTTGTTTATTTCTTGTTTGCTGTTTGCTGGGTTGGTTGGTGTTAACCTGCAGGGAGTGTTGTGATGGCAGATGTCAGCTGGCACTGGTAGCGCAGGTGTATTTAAGATCTCTCTTAAATGTTCTTCTCATCTCCTTAGTTGGTCCTCCTGCTTTGTGTTTATGTTCTTGTTTATAACTGGTCTGTGTTTTAAATGGTTCTTCCTGCCAGTTTGGTAATATTCTTGTAGTGCTTTTGCCTTTCTTGCTCTGGTGCGACTGCTGTTGAAGCTTTGTTGTTGAAGGGTGTTTTCTTGCTTTGGTTTTTCTGATTGATTCACCTGAGATCCTTTCTTTGTGCAGTCTTGATTCCCTGCCACAGTCTTTGCCATCCTTATTCCAGGCTTTGTGCTTCCTCTTGCTTATGGTTGACGAGAGGTTGGAGTCTGACTACCATTTTATTTATTACTCCAAGAGCCTGCTTGTCCATGATTTATTCTCGGCTTTTTTTGCCCTGTCCAATTTTGGCACTGAAATCACCCGTTAGAGGTATGATATCTTTTTGTCTTTGTTAATTACTTCCTGTAGGACATAGACATTATCTTTGTTATCTGGCTATACCTCGTTTGTTGAGGCGTTGCACTGAATGATGGTGATGTTATTGCGTCTAACGATTGATAACTAACGAGTTTATTGACTCTCACTTCATCCACCATTTCAGTGAAAGGTGGTATCTCTTCATCTCTGCTGCTTTATGTAAACATTAATGCTTCATACATGATGCGGATGTTCAAGATGCCAATGTACTGTATATGCTGTGATTAGATGTTAGAAAGGATGTCAACTTTTCAACTCACTTGCAGTTTTCATTGCAGATGTTTCTGTAATCAGGGGAATTCACTGAGTGGATGATTGGTCTACCCAGCATAGCCAAAGCCCTGTTAGCCAAGTGTGTTTCCGGGTGGTGTCAGGGATCCAGCAGGTAGTCCTCCAGGGATCCTGTGCACAGCCGTAAGCTCTGCGGGATGCAGAGGCAAACAATCCAAAATCGTAATCCAGAAGCAAGGTCAAGAGGCGAAGCTAGAGATCAGTTAACCAGAAAGGGCTGAGACAAACCGAGAAGACAATCCAAAAGGCAAAATCCGAGAAGAGACGAGATCAAAAGGGAAAAGTTAAGTCCAAAAACCGAGAAATCCAACAAGAAAATAATGCGCACTAGAAAACACTAAAGGAGGCTTTTCAATAGTGAGCAAGGTTTGGTGCGTGAGGGAGCTTTAAATAGTGGAGGGAGAGGAAAGTGGTTGGATTATTGGTCCGGGAGTGAGAATCTGTGGAATCTGGTGCCTGTGGGAATGGGATGGGTTCAGTAAGGAATGGGAGCGTGAAACAGTGGGTTTGGGAATGTAATGGGATTTGTGAGGGTAAGTGCGGGACATGACAGAAACCCTCTGTTCTCTGAGCTAATGTACACTGTTTCAGCAAAGAGCTACAATTTTCTGTCTCTCCTTAAATAATAAATAACAATAATATGAACTTGAATAAATAAGGTAAAATGTGCTAAAAGTAAAACATCTTCACCATGATCTGTTCACTAGAAGATTACACTTCTTTGGCCAGATGTATTTAGCATTCGAAAGCATTGGCACATGCTCGTGCCTAGAGATAATTAAACGAGATTTGCTTCCCCATTCCAGGCACATAATCACTGGAATATATTTGCATGGATCAGTTTAGATCAGATTTCCTTGTACATAGTCTAGTCACAGACCACGCCACTTTATGCTCTGAAGACATTTACTGTCTTTGACTAGAGTGTACGGCGGTTGATCATTTTATTGAGCAACAGATCATTGATACATACAAGTAGAAGTCTATGCTGGAAGTAGAAAGTAAAATGTCTATTCGGATAAATGCGTATGAGTAATTCCACTCAATGTCCTAGGCTCTAGAGCCACCTGCTGAGCGATGCCTAGAGAACTACAAGCAGCAACCACACAAATATTTGGTAAATGCATAAAAGTATATCATTGTACCCGTTTGTGGTGTCAGTTCCTAGTAAGAGAAGACAAGCCATCACACATTTTGTATTTTGCTTGAAGTACCGACACGCGATTCTTT